TAGAGGTGCATGCATTCGTGCCTTATGGAAATTGCAGGAACTTCCCGTACTGTAATTTAAGATTTTTAAAAGCTCAAAAAAATAATTAGATTTCTTTAATTTAAATTTAGATTCTTTTTCAAATTTTGGAAACATTTTAAAAAAATTGAATATTGAAAACAAATTGCATTTTTTAAAATACTGATATTTTGGAAAACTATTTTTTTTTTAAAATTTTGACATTTTTGCATGTTTTTAATACTTACTCATATCGGTTGTTTCAAATTAAAAAATAATTGATTTTCGACTGCCAAATGGCATTTTTTTTAAACTTTTTTCTATACCTCAGAAACCGTTTTACCTTCCTTAGCAAAAACTTCAATTCTTCATTATGAATACAAGTAGTTCATTATCAATACAAGTAGATTTTTTTTTGAATATTTCAAAAAGCATGCTCTATTCTTTCACAAATTTTATAGATGTTTTCTGCATTTTTTGCTCTGTATCTCTAAAGCAGCTGGACCAACTTTTGCCAAAAACTAATCACCCCGGCTCCTTATCAATAGGAATCGAATGCTTTTTGAATAATTCAAATAGGTTGAGCGAGACTTCCGAAAACATCGACGAAAAAGAAGTACTCATACATACATACATTACATTCATTTTTTCTAAGGTATGCCAAAATGTTCAGAAACCTCTGAAACGAAAATATATGCAAAAAATTCATTTTTGATTTTTGGACGATTACTATAACTTATTCTGTGTTAAGAAATCGCTAAATATATTATGATCATTGTTTAGTTTAAGTGAGCCCATATTTCCGTAGCCTAAGTAAAAACGCAATATTTTCTTTTATATTTTTATTTACGAATTTATCCTTACAATAAACCATGTGCTCTTCTAAGAACTTGTACCAGGTCAAATGCAAGTTTATAGTATTGAAAGCGGTATTGAGTCCGATATACCCGTATAAAAGACCAGGAAATGCATAAAGGCATTTTCTTCGCTATACAAAAAAACCTACAAGTAAGTAGGAAGTTTTTTTCCATTTGGCCCCCAATTTTGACCTGAGATTAGTATTCAGCGATAAAAACTACATTGAAAAACATATGTCGCACAATACAGACAACTTTATTTTGTGAACCTGTGTTATCATCGTCGAGTAGATAAATATTGAATTATATCATGGTATGGTATGTTGTGCCCCATCCAGCGACGGAGCCAACAAAATGTAGGTTCTTCTTGCTGTTAAGTATCAAGCTGGTACCAAACTGTGATGGCGAATCAGTAAAACAGATGAAGACTTTTGATGTCTATGTTTATTTCATGATTCTTGTACACTTTTCATATAACTTTAACACTAAACTTAAATATAATTCCATTGATTGAATATTATGATAACTTATTGACGACTGAACTATATTGATCTTAACTCATACTGACTCATACTGACTGTTTATTGCATCATCCAGAATCTTAAATACTCCTTATCGGTATGACGCAATCCTTTTCTAGAATGTTCGTTATATGTGAGTCAGAAACTACGCTTTACTTGGTCGTAAGGCGCAGTTTGTGGTTTCAAAAGAAATTTTATCAACGCTTGCAAGGTTACTGCAAGCTAACAATGTAGCTGTGAGTAACACTAACTGCGTTGTTCATATTCTGACTGTTATATAGTAGTTTATAACATAATTTATAATTATTACAAAGGGGTGGATACCACTACAGGTAATATGATATCGATATATGAACTAAACTGCAACTTGAAAATTTAACACTCTAGTTCAAATCGTGCAAAACTATACATTACACTAGTATTAAAAGTTCTTCCAACTCTCACCGATGAGAAACCAGATAACTCATCGGTTCGACCAGAGAATGTAGATTAGATTATTGATATTCTCGAAGCATATGCTCGACGCATGTCGTCTCGTAGCTACAATGTACCCATGCCAATGCCCATGCCCATATTACCTTAACCGCACGTAAATACGAATTTCGGTGTACCTGTGTACACATGTGCGTCCGTATCGTTCGAATCGGCCGAATATCCTTTAACACATACCTGGCTTTATATTATCCCGCGTGAACACACAACACCACGCACGTCCTTTGAGTCGAATCGTTTGCCCTTTGCGATCCACAAGTAGCGCGCACGTGCGCTGCTTGTCGGATGACATGGAAATTGATAGGAATGGAGCCGATGCACAAATAACAGATTTTTTTACTTTATATTTTTGCTGCAACTGTTAACCAGTTAACTGCGATTGACGAATATACTCGTCATGCGTATATAACAATAGTTAAGTAGGTTTCTTAATTTCCCGTAAGGTAAATTCTTGTAATCGCTCAAAAATCAAAATTGCAAAATTTTGTATATCTTCACGTTTCAGAGGTTTCTGAACGTTCTGGCACACCTTAGAAAAAATGGATCGGTGTGTATGTGTGGATACAATTTTTCATCGACAATTTCCGCAATACGGAATAACCGATGTAAATTAAAATCTGATAACAATCAATTCCTATAGATAAGGAGACGTGCTGATTAGTTTTTGGCAATAGTTGGTCTAGTTTTCGAGCAAAGAGTGCAGAAAATAGAAATCGAGTTTTTGAGAGAACGAAGCATCTAATTTGAATGATCCCAAAAACATTCAACTCGTATTTATGGGGAAAAGTGGTGATTAGTTTTTGTCGCAGGCAGGTCTAGACGTTTTAGAAATATGGAGCTGAAAGTGCAAAAATTTGCGGTTTTTGAGAGAACTAAGCTTCTGATTTGAATAGGAGTATATTTTTTATTTATTTTTTTTTATTTCTAAAATTTTTTTTTGTCTATAAAATAAGAATAATAAAAGCTACCGTTTTTATAATAATCTACTTAGAAACATTTAATATTTCTCGAATATTTTATTACGGTACTGGAAGTTCCAGCAATTTGCCTTAAGGCACGATGCCAAACACTAGTAATTTTCAAAACGTATTATATACTGAAATGTCAAGTTATTTAGAATATTTTCAAGCTCTTATGCATGTATCAAATAGTAGCTGTAAATGGAATTTTACATCAACACGTTCGTGGATAGTAAAAGTTTCAGCAAGGTTAGATTGACAGTCATTTTATTTTTAAGTTGGATGGGATATCTAAAATTTAATTAAACATGGGTCATCACGGTAGTCAGATTATCATATCTTATCCATTATATGAATGCTATAGCATCCACGTCAGGTATTACGCTTCTATTTTACTCAACTTGTCTAAGCTAGTTTATTACTTTCGGAAAAGATAAGATAATAGGATAAATGAATCACTTAGACATTATCTTGACAGGTATAATATTTACTAAAACCTATGGTAATATACAATTAAATTCAAAATAATTGACTTCAGAATTTGAATACTATAGCATTCATGTCATTCTGCATCACAAAGAGAATTAATGCTATAGTATTATCTTCAGCAAACGTGTGAATTGCAACATTTATAAGTGCAATATTGCGTTAATAAAATAAAATAAAATAAAATATAGTTGGCTCTGTAGCAAATCAAACTCTTTAATCTATTGTGATAATTTTTAATTCTAGTGACTGTTACTTCACTAAAGGTTACTATAAGGCAACCCGATTTTTGTCTCTTTTTATTTTTGAAATACTTTTATTGTACGTTGGTTGCTTTCTATCAGTAAGACTTTTCTAAATCTGATGATATTTTAATGTTTGCCAGTGTCCTAAAGAGCAATTTTCATTTTCAAACATATTAAATAATTAAGGTAATAATAAAATTTCCTTTCATTTTCATTAAAAACTACAAGATACTAATAGGATTAACTTAAAATTTTTGACAGTAATGTAAAAGGCTGAAGTGAAATTCTGACATTGATATGGTTTCAGTAAGAAGTATTCAATTTCGAATCCTTGCGAATAATCTTTCTTACACATATAATACTTCTTTTACTTCTCACAAAATTGTAGAATATTATAACTAATTATGTTGCACTGGGAGTTTTGAAGATAACCCTATGTGAAAATGTATGTAAATTTTTTCCTAATTAATTTGCGTGTGTAATTAATTACCTACGAAATCAATTCTTTATTTTTGTAAGTATTTCTCATACAAAGTCAGCCATACTTCATTAGTTAGCCAAAAGTCATATAATAGGGGTGTAATCATGAGTTTTATATATCAATATGTTAATGAAATATTGATAAAATATTAATTAAAAAGATAGAAATATGAAAATTATTAGAATATTATATAGTTGATATACATATGCACTACAAATAAATATCTGTTTGAAAAATACCTACCTTTATTTTCACCTGCGCTCCTACTATGACATCGCATCTTATATATAGATAGAAAAAACTTACAGCAAACTATTGGGAATATACATAATACGGAAGAATTTTTATACAGAACAAAAAGTACACCTGCTAAAGTTTCGGTCGTAGTTTCAACACTTTTTGTTTTCTTTCGATGAATGCACAAAGGTGTATTCCGAATTGCGAATATTGGCAGTTTTGCTTGATATAGTTTCATGAAAATATTTTTCTTTAAGAATTTTAGTAGCTGTTGAAATTTATTTTTACATTTTATATGTTGCAGCAATATTTTATGAAATCATTAATCGAGTGAATCATTATCATAATCATTAGTTCATAATCATATGAATATGATTATCTTATTATATCATATTTTCTAGTGGAAAATTTAACGAAATAATATCACAGTATTCAAAATATCGTTATTTATAAGAAACAAATCCATCTGTTTTTGTGTTGCAATAATAAATATTGATGACTTATAAAATATAATCAAGGTAATCATAGAATTTACGTATTACATATTTTTTATTAATTCTAAAAATCAATAATACATAGAAATTATTGTTTTCCTTATAAATTCTATGCCATTACCATGAATATTTTATCGCCATCAATATTTTATAAATGTTTTCCAAAATCTTCCTGATCGATAACTAATGTACTTGACCTTTCTTTGTTGTTTTGGATGGACCCTTCCACAGGTGCTCAAGGTACTTAATTCCAATAACTCTTGCATGATTTATTTTAGATGCACTTGAATGTTTTAGAACCATTATATATACTTCTTTAGAACCATCATAATTTTTAGAACCATTTATAGTTGCGCTTTTGAACTATATTTAGTATATACTAAGCTATATTAATACTAGTTCTTTTGACTACAATATTCTTAGCATTTAAAACGTGAATGATGAGTTCATATAACTTTGCAGAATTATTTGTATGAATAACCACTAAATGGCTTTATTCATTACCAGTTTTAGTATTATTAAAATATTTTATCATCTTGAGATTCTTATAAAATTCAGTAGTTATATTATTGCCATATATGCATGTGCAAGGATGTAACACTTAAGTGATAAAATTCTCTAGAAGAAAATTTTAGCAGATTTATATGTATAAATTTCCGAACTATCTCAAGTAATTTACATAATCTATTCCCTTATTTAAAATCTTTTATATCCATCGGGATACCATATAATCCTTGCCAGAGGAAAAATTGTTCAGAAGTGAATTTTTCTCACAAAAGAAGCAAGTGAAACCGACACAATTCGTGCAATAAAATTTACTTTGTTGAAATGTAAAGTAATGTAAAGTATTTAACTGAAAAAAATATTAAATTGAACTTGATTTTATAACGGTACATTCTAATTTTGAACCACGTCTCTTCTTTAAAATTATTAGGAAATTTTTACTAATACAATTTTGCTCACAAATTGGCATATATTGATGTCAAAAATCCTAATTGTTGGAAAATTTAGAAGCAATTCGTTTAGATAAACATATATAATAAATTGAATTTGAACATCAGTTATTTTTTGTATAAGATACCTCTTGTTGTCAGTTATTAACGGATTTGGAATTTATATTATACATAATGTAACGTATGTAATGTAATTTCCAAATTCTTAATATTTATTAGCATATTTTCATATTCTCCATTTTTCTTCTAAAAAATGAATTATTAAAGAGATTTCAAGTGTATACCAAATTGCATGTCGTAGAATTTAATTATTTTATATAAATTTATATTTAAATTTATATAAATTACTATAATTTAGAGCACTAGTAGTAGTGAAATAGTACACAACTTTTTATATATAAGCAATTAAATACATAAGATTGACATTTGTTTTCTATGTAAATATACCTAATATCTTTGGTTTATATTAACATTATTATTAATAATTGATTTGATGACATTATTTATCAAGTAAATTTTATTTTATTTCTAAATTATTTTGTCAAAATAAGCTTACTTGATATAAAAAAATTATACTTTCATAAAAACTTTGCATAATTTGTTGTTAATTATTTATTATCTACGTGGGAATTCTGTTAATAGTTAATTTTTATGTTTTCACATATCTTACCCGACTCCAGGAAATGCTGGACTTTGAATTCTAACTACTTTTAATTTTAATGTCACATATATTAGAAATTGAGTAATATTTTATTAGACCTTACACATAAATTACAACCTTGCACGATGTACGCTTAGTTAATTATTTATTGAAACGCTTTTATTTATCTCATCTGCCTGCTATTTTTTTAATACTCAAATTCAATGCTTTTACAAAATCTAGCAAACCCCTAATACCAAACTTTTTATTTTATTTATTTTCAAAATATAACCTAGTAGTATTTCATATTAATTTTATATGAGCACGTTTATTTTATAGAAGCAGGAATATTTTTATCTAAAAATACTAGTAGTGATACTGGTAGCTTTTCTATGAATAGATAGTATGTTTGTCGAGTTATTTTCGACTGAAAAATAATTAAATATTTAAAATTCGCAGACTATGGCCGCCACGAAACGAAACGCTGGATTGACATCAGCAGTTCCTAGAGCTACTCTTAATGATGAAGAACTGGTGAGTAAAATTATAACTAGATAAAAAATAATTATTTTTTTTATTAAAGACATCATTTTTTAATACTGTTAACAATTAATATATAAATTAACTCTTTGGGGATGGCTGTCCACCTGAGTGGACAAACATACTCTGTGAGGCACAGGCTATTTTATAAACAATGACTCAGTTTGCATCGAAAAGTTGAATAAATTACATATAGCAGCGATAAACAGTGTTGTATTTTGAAAATAATTCTAAGTTATTTTAGTAGTATTTTTGGCCTTTTTCTTTGCTAAATAGTCTTTTTTTTTAATATTAAAAACGACCGAGCGCTTTTAAATATGGCAAAACAACTGGTAAATTTTGTGAATTAAGCAGTAGTGATGATGAGTTTCAAATAGACATCCATATGGACAAATTTTACGAAATTACCATTTGCACCGAAGATAGTGATAAATGTGATGATGATATTATCTTACCAACAAAACGAAGAAGTTCGACAAATTAAATGAAGAGCGGAAAGACATTAGCAAATGTGCTGATTCTGCTTCATTAATCACGCCGACTACAAATACCAAACAATATACGACATCCAATAGATTATTTTACTTGATATTTTACAAATAATTTATTAGACAATATAATAGAAAAAAATAAACCACAATGGCAACAAAAAGTCAGTGGCAAATTCGAAATGCGAGAGAAAGAAAAAGGGATTGTATTATCTGTTCTGACAGAAAAGCACTCGGAGGAAGGTGACGAACAACATTTCATTCTAAAACATGTCAAAATCAACCAGCTATGCATTTTGGAAATTGTTTTGAACGTCACCATTCTTTATAAAATGATCAGAAAAAAATTAATATTATTAATGTATGTCCTTCAATGATCTCAAATTTTTATCAAACAAATTGCATAACATACACAATGAAATTAAGTTTACGCCGGTATAGTAGATTGTTTTGAAATCGGTGCCGTCCCGTAAGGGTTAATAAATAGAATTTCTAATCAATTTTACATTTGATTTTCGTAAATATTTAAAACTTGGCATATTCTATCTGGACTGTTTGTTTTTTTAATTTAACGATTTTATAGCTAGTAGTAAAATATATGTTTTATTATTTCAAATTGTAATTTATAAAATCCATTAATCCTTTTTCTCCAGAAAATGCACGTGTACAAAAAGACTTTACAAGCTCTAATCTATCCCATATCGTCTACGACTCCGCACAATTTCGTCCTCTGGACTGCTACGTCGCCTACGTACTGCTACGAGTGCGAAGGGTTGCTGTGGGGCATCGCTCGACAGGGCGTCAGGTGCACCGAGTGCGCGGTCAAGTGCCACGAGAAGTGCAAGGATCTGCTCAACGCCGACTGCCTACAGAGTGAGTCGCAGCCACAATATTTGATTGCAAAACGTCATAGGATTTGCAAAATTTTTATATCTATTTGTCTCTATTTTTATATACGGAATATGCAAAAGAAGTTCTGATGGGGTGTTTTGATTATAGTTGTGATGATGGTAAAAGATATCTATATTAGTAACAAAAGTATTGAAGCGATTTACATAACGTCGACTGATTGTTCCTTGGACTGTAAATGGATTTAAATCATCGTGGTTTAATGAAAAATAAGAGTCCTGTTACATTATTCACTCTAGGTTTATTTAATTTTACTTTACAAATACGTTCTTTTTCGTTGAGTGTTAATATTAAACTGAGAAATTTATATAAATTCCAGGCTCGACGGTGTATATTTTACAATTTAATTATATAAGCCGTCAAACCTCGGCGAGATCAGTATATATATATCAGTAATAACAGATTTAACCTGATCGTTACGTGAAAAAATATTTTATAAGTTAACAGCGAAGGTCACACCAGATGTTTTGGTTTAAAAAATCATCCAAATATATTATAACTATGTAAATATATAAAGTGTTTGATGGCGTAGCAATCAAGCGCACTTCCTTGTGTCGACATGGTTGTATGTTCGAACCATCGCTCTGGATAACTGTATATCAAGAAGAACTGATATCAATTTTCACTTGAAAATATAGATCAAAAATATGTTTTCAATTAAAAATTTCAGGTGTGAAATGGCAATTTACACTATTGTTCCCTAAATTAAGTTGAAGTTTAACTCAGCTTACGGAATTGCCATAGGGCACTATTATCCATTATTATAAATATTGCTTAAGGGGGGAGCCTTTGAAAAAAAATTTTGTTGCGAAAATGTTTTCTAAAACTAGCCAAGAATATATTTCTGAAATTCCAGAAACAAATTCAAATTATTTTCGGAGTTGCAGAAGAAATAGTGAACAAGTGTTGAGCATGTATACGAGCGGAACAAAAACTTCGTCGCGCGATTTCTCGGTTTTCCATTTTTTAGATTTTATCTAATTGACGGTAAAGATATGGAAAAAACTAAACGTCTTATCAAAACGGGACAAAATTTATTGTATTCAGGATCAAGTTCTCTTCTAGTTGAACCTAAAAAACTTTAAAGAAAGTTTATAAATTAAATTGACCGACTTTTTAAACAATCTAAAGTAAAATTTTGTATAAAAAATATCATTTTCTTCAAGTTGCAAAAAATGGTAAATTTCTGGACTTTTTCTAGATTTCTCCGGTTTACCTAGAATCTGTACTCTTGAAAATATAAATTTATTTTGTCTTTACCTGCATCTTTCCCGCCAAACGACACATGCACGCTCGTGGCGCCTAGGCAAAAGGCTTGTAAAGTATATTTTGAGGCCAAAATAACCAAACCAAATCTCCCTATTGAATTAACATTCTTAGTGTTTGTTCTAAAAATATTTTTTGGTTCTCATAAAACTTTCTTCCCACTTCTTACATTTGCATGTTTTTAATTGAATACATATGTAATACATATGTAATACATGCACATATCAAAAATAAGTGAAATGTAGTAATTACAATTTACAATTACTGATATTATACAGCCAAAACCTGGAAAGATTCTAAACAACTTGATTTTTTAGAATAGATTTTTTTTCAAAAATTTTAATTTAAATAGCAAATGATCATTATTTTATAGACATGACGAAAATACTGGTCAAAACATAAAATACTGCTACTTTTCCATGACGAGTATATTCGTCAACAACAGTTAAGTGGTTAATAAATAGAATATTTTTATTATTTTTATTCCATATTTGTTCAAAGACTACTGCATCGTAGTACAGTAGCTCATAAGTCAAAAAGTTTTTTTACTACCCACATAATTTCTATTTTCTAACCATTTCTCCTTATATGTATAATTATAATTTTTCTCAATTTATTGAACATCAAAAGAACTTTAACAAAGCTTATTAATGGCGTTTATTAATATTTAACTTAGTAGCCGGACTACTATTTATCTTTTCCCATGGAACCCATTTTGTTCTGCAGCGCGTATATTTTTTTGTCATAGGAAACAAAACAGTTTTTTGTTTGAGTTGTCATTCTATTGTTTAATTATTCTACTTTCATATTTATATTTTGCTCGGATATAACATTAGTGGCTATTGTCCTTTTTTGTAATTGACACATTCTTGTCGGTGGAATAAAATAATAACCATAATATAAATTATATTTTATGATAAATTTATTACTTCTATCCAGCCTCGTATGTATATGTTACGAACATTTGTTACATTATAGGTTATATATCAGAATATTATCATCACAATTATATGTCAAAACTATGAAACCATCGTTATTTCTCTAATATATTTCGTATGTAGTTTATATGTTCATTAATTATGAATCGGTTGACGTTGAACATGTATTTGCGACGATATGTTAATCATTGGATGCGAAATTACAGAAAAATATTTGATGTTTCTTTCTTCGAATCTATTCTATTTCTACTTTCCTATTTCTGGAATGTGTGTGTTTTATGATTTCTCTATCGGCACACATTTGTTTAAAATTGATGTTACTTATGAACCCTATATATATATTACAATGGAGGTGGTGGACATATTGAGAAAATTATTGAATTGTAGCTGATGTATTGTTTAATTCAGTTTATTAAACGCGATATATCAATCTTGGAGTAGTACGAGAGACAACGACAATTGCGAGATGTTCCTTGGAGTTACTTGATCTGTGAACGTTAATATTTTTAGGACAAATTACAGCAGAATTAAATTACTATATTTCTATTTATTTCAATGCCAATAATATTTACTTAATAATAAATATTTTGTAGTCCGTTAATATTTTTAAAATGTTTTGTCATGTCATTGATCATAATTGCTATCGATATACCAGCATATGTTTTCTTCTTTATTTTTAACTTCTGCATAACATTAATATTATATATATATATATATATATATATATATATATATATATTATATATTTTAAGAAATTACTCATATAAAGCGTATGAAAATAATAATATTACATTTGGCGACAAGCTTAGTTGTAGCTAGGAAATTTCTTAAATTAAACATAAATTTCTATTTTTTTTTACTTTTCAACAACTACTTTCAGTGCGAAATTAAAAATTTGATTAAAATTAAAATGTCTATACAAATTAATATTTATAGTGCGTATCCATTGCACGAATAATTAATTAATAATAGATTTATTGCAAATATTAAAAAATAATTGAACAACTTTCAGTGACGAATATATACTTAATAATTATTAATTTTTTGCATATTTTAATAAATAATTGAATATATTCAGATGATTAAACTCTATTTATACAATACAATAAAATGCTAAGTTTCTAATATAAAATAAAATGCATTATTTCATTTTAAGAAATCAAAATTTTATTTTATGAATTTAATCTGTTCTTACTTTGAAATCATTTGCACGTCGAAATATACAATAAATTGTAATTATTTATCATTTAATACGGTCAGTTAATTTTTAATATTCTTATTGCAATTGCATATTATTTTCGTGAATAATTATTCCAAGTACATGTACGATTTCGTAATTGAACCCTTTTAGACTGACTAAACATATTAAATCATGAAATAAAAATTATAGTTGCTAAAATAAAATATACATTTTTGTTTATTTTCGTTATAATATTAAAGAAAATATATAATGTTAAAGACTATATACCAAGTACATGTAGATATTTTATCAACACTTCAGTACTTTTCAGTACTTTTTTAAAAGAAAGTATTAATCACTTTTTTCATCTTTTTTTTTGTATATTGAATGTACATAATGATAAAGATAATCTAATTTGAAAACTGTTATGTTCGATATTTTTTTTATTTTTAAAGTTCTGTTATGAGAAGACGTCTATTGATCATGTGATCGATTTTTTAGGAATTTTAGCACCCTCCACCCCCTCGGTGATTCGTCGTGATATTTAAAATTACCTTCCACTCCCCCTCTAAATATATTACGTCTATTATTAGTTATGTAAATTTTTTTTGAAGAAATTTTTCGAAATCACAATAAAATCGTATCCTTTTTTTCAAATGTTTGAACTTTTTTCTTGAAAGTTCAAGTAAAAAATTATTACACGTGATATTTCGGGAAGGGGGGATATAGTATCATGTCACGTGTGTTTATTTTCTACCTGTTTTTTTTTCAAAATCCCAAACATTTTTTTAAAAAAAACTGAATTTTACAATTTTTTTCTAGTGATGTTTGGAGGGGGAAGGGGGATAATTTTGAATATCACCACGTATCACCGAGGGGGAAGGAGTGTCCAAAAATTCTTAAAAAAACAATCACGTGATTAATGGACGCCCCCTGATTGAACATAATACTATCTTTATTTAATTAAAAGAAACTTTTATTTTCGATATTAGGGTGACATGTAGAATATGATCATTTGCAAAAATTGTTAATAACTAAATATTAATATATATCATATTTTCAATAATTACGATCCAATTCAATGTTTTTCTCAAGTGTTCTCCACGTCCATTGCCCTGTGTGTACTACCAACTCGTCTTTTCCCTTAATTCTGTCGAGTGAGTGTTTCACTTAACCTTAACGCGTCGTGAATTTTCAAAGAGCTTTCTATAAAACAATATCACTTAATGTCAATTTCTCGATACAATCTAATTTGTATCGCATCCTATCTCTATCGTTGTTTTAATAATACACTTGTGGTAAGTGTTGGAATGTTTATGTCGCATTTATTCTATATATTATTATGTGTTCATTGTCAGTGTCTTTTTTAATATTGAGTTATACTGAGGATTTACTGAATTATTAATGACTTCTAATTATGAAGTTTTTATATCGTTACATAATTTGAAAACAATTTTAGATTGGTACATAGATAGCTTTTTTTTCTTAGTTTATATATAACTTGTACATATATTGAATCTGTATGAGCATATCAATGCATTTTTTTTTCATTTGCTATGAAGAATTTTTTCAATTTATTT